AAGACCTTATCTCTCCACCAACAGCCAGTTGCTCTCACGCCCTGGAGGCACCATAAAAAGGATTTGAACCCTTAAAATCACAAACTTTTAATTTAAAAATCACAAACTTTTATTTAAATTAATAAATAATATATATTACTTTTCTAGAATATGAATTTTATATCAGAAACACAAGTCAATTCATGAACAAAAGTATGTGCCTCTACGGTTACACTTGTATACCAACAACCCTTCATCTTTACCCATAAAAATAATATAAAACGACAACAATGAAGAAACAACGCAAAATCTTCAACCAGAGATGGATGCTGATGAGAGAGAGGATCGTTGATCAAACGGCACGCGCTTCTCACGCTCCATGTCCGTCCCCCCCAACTCTGAATCGCACTTAAACCCCTTTTCATTGGTTGCCCTGTCCATATCACCTGACTATTAAAAACCCATCAAAAAGTACAAAAGGTCGGCTTAATTTGTAAGCAGCTTGATATTGTTCGAGTGCTTGTGAATGCAGAAAATTTTTGTTGAGAGACTCGAGTCGTCCAACGAATTAATTGGGTATTAGCTTCCGTTTGTTGAGAGACTCGAGTCGTCCAACGAATTAATTGGGTATTAGCTTCGGATACCCTGGCCGGGCTAAAAAAAAATAAAACCCATCAAAAAGTTAAAAAAACCCAGAAAACTCTCCCCCATTTTCATCTTTTATATTATATATGTCCTCCTCAAGGACCTCAACATGATCCCCACACAGATCTTCTGTTCATCTCTCAAGCACTTTGCTTTCTTCATTTGCTATAACGCTCATCTCTTTTAGTTTCGATTTCAGCCCAAGGTTCGTTGCAGACAATTGTTTGACTTTTGGAGGTTTAAGGCAAGAAAAAAAGGTTATCATTAACTGTTTGTATTCATACTCTGCCTATCCTTTTATTTTCTTTTGGGGGGGCTTTTCCTTTTACTTTTAAATTTCTCTTTTTTTGGCCTTTGATGTCTTTTGAGGCTTGTTAAGAGGCGTCCCTATAATGATTCTCTGTGATGATGTGAGGAAAAAGGTGGTAGCTTTATATTTTTACACGGTGAAATCTTGATTTGGTATGCAATTTTTTTATTTTTTATTTATTTATTTATTTTTTTTTTTTGAAGGGATTGTGTGGTTGTTTTTGAGGATTGTACATGGGGTTTGGAGATCTTTGAAGGAAATAACCCAATTAATTTATTCTGCCTTGGCTTTGATTGATTAAATTTACAGAATAGTTCTTAATTGGTTATCCTAAGAGTTTGGGGATTGTAGTGAGGTCTCATCTGGTGAGTTATATTGTACTAGTTAATTAACAAATAATATAAGTATATATGTTGCTCATTCTTGTATTTTCCCCCTTCCACAAGACTTGGTCATTTTTCTAAAGTCTTGTATTTGGAGTAGCAATGCCTGCATCAACCGTGCTGTTCTTCGTTTCAGATACGAATAATAGCTGATACGAATAATAGCCGATTATTTATTTCCCATTGCTTTATTGTAAATCTTTGCATATTCAACATTTATGTGTAGTGACTTGTGATAAGCTACCTTATTATGTGTTTGAATTTGTAAGTTTCGACTGTCGTACCTCGTTCTGTCCCTCCAACTTAAATTATGATCTGGGGTTCTGTGTTTTAGCTGCTGTTCTGTTCTACTTGAAAGTTCCAACCACGGCTGGGGTTGTAGTTGTAATATGATGATAAAGATAATGGTGGTGGTTGAGATTAGTGTTAATCTCTTCGTTACCTTACCTTGTGCTATTGTTGATGGCATATAAAACTTGTTTCTTTTTCCAGAGTATAAATCTCCTTGTGTTCTCTGTTGCTGGAACTGTTGACAGTGATACACACTTATATATACACGTATACATCTTACAAACTTAAAATTTCAATATTGCTACTTTCTATTTATATTCCTTCATAGACTGGATCACTAGCTATCTCTTTTGTTGACACTTTAGTCAATATATCTTCCAGTTGGAGCCTGACAGTTCCGATCACAGCGTTTGCTTTTGTTCCATTTTGGTTTTTTTGCTTTCTTCGCATATTTTCTTCTTTTGGGATAGTTTCTATTTAGATGAATAGTGGGAAACTGATGTTAAGTGATCTATCATCTCATCTAAGGATTTCAATCTAATAAGAGCAAAGAACCATTTGGATGAACTCATTATGCTACAGTGATCAAATCCTTTAGCATCCTTTGGATTTATTTGTGTAGGATTGGGAAAAGGAAATCCGTCGTATTCCATCTAAATGCAATCAGAAACCATTCCTTTTTAAAAAGCATGCAACCAAAACACTCGCCTGACATCAATATTCACTTCCTTTTACAGCTCAATATCTTACTCATGGATTCCCCTCAGTCGGTCGTGTCCCCACTCAAGACCTCCTCTGTCCATCCTGAGCCCAAGAAACAGCAGACCCCTAAGACCTATCCTCCCCAGGAGATGGAGATAAATTTCCAGAGCAAGGACATTGGGGCCCACGAGGAGGACAACCAGCTCGGGACCCTGGACGTGTACATCCACCAGGCCCGTGACATCCACAACATCTGCATCTACCAGAAGCAGGATGTTTACGCCAAGCTCTGCCTGACGAGCGACCCGGAGAGGTCCGTCTCCACCAAGATCATCCATGGTGGGGGCCACAACCCTGTCTTCAACGAGGGCCTCCGCCTCGGGGTCCGCAACCCCGACTCGTCCCTCAAATGTGAGATCTGGATGCTCAGCCGGGTCCGCAACTACATGGAGGATCAACTGCTCGGTTTTGCCCTGGTGCCCCTTTCCGAGGTCCTCCTGCAGCAGGGAGGTTCCAGGCTCCAGAAGGAGTTCTCCCTCTCATCCACCGACCTATTCCACTCCCCTGCTGGGTTCGTGGAGCTGTCCGTCTCCTATGTTGGGGCCCAACCGGATGTGATCCGGATCTCGGCCCCACTTCCAGTCCCGGACAGCGAGTCGATCACGTCCCTTGTAAACGAGTTTGACCAGATGGAGTTCCCGGACCCTAAGGTCGCAAACGAGAATGACCAGATGGTGGAGGAATACATTGAGATATGCACCAAGGCGGAGGAGGAGTCCCAGTGTGCTGAGAGTCTCGTCAGTTCGGATGCCGAGGATGGGGCCAGGCCAGAGGAGAGCCTGTCGGCTGGGAGTGAGTTGAAGGCCAACTCTTCCCCAAGCGAGATCTCGTCTGCTTCTGCTCAGGTGAGTTCTGAGTCCTCCGAGACCTCTAAGGACCGGAAGTCTCCTGCCAAGGAGCCTGTTTTGGGCCCTGAGGAGAAACCCAAGGAGAAAAGTGAAAACAGGCTGGATGCCAAGAATGGTGATGTGTCTGGTGGGGTTTGCGGGTCTGTGAAACCGCTCGTGAGCGTGAACGTTGAGCCAGAGCCGGAGCTGGTTCAGCAGGACATAGTGGACATGTACATGAAAAGCATGCAGCAGTTTACCGAGTCCCTGGCCAAGATGAAGCTCCCCATGGACTACGAAAACGGGCCGAGCAGCTCCGAGAACTCGACCACTTCAGATCATAAGACGCCGTCTTCCAAGAACTCTGGCTCTCGTGTGTTTTACGGGAGTAGAGCTTTTTTCTGAGCGGGGGTTTGTTTTTTATGGAGCTCACACATGTGACCGTTAGGCGTTAGTGAATTTAGAAAAGGAAGGACAGGTGCCTAGTTTACAGCTAGTATGCGCCTTATGTATCCCAAATTCCCAATGCTTCACTCTTGTATCCGCTTTGTATTTTTAACCTGTTTTAGAAGAATGAGTAATATATATCTCTTACTTGTACGTTTTATGAGCCCCTTGTTCTTGCCTACAAGAACTCATAGTTTGTACTGGACACAGTTGAACTTAATCCTGTTTCACTACCTTTTCAATGTTTAGTAATAATCTTGTATATATCGACCTACGTTCTGTGGCGGTTGATTATCGTGTAATTTTTACATAGCTTAACTGTTTGCTCAATCATGAATGATGTTGTGTACAAATTATTTTTATTTTACCGAGCACTGAATCAAATGATTCGTTTCCCGGGTCGTTCTCTTGAGGAAGACTATTCGGAATTTAGAATTGATATTGATAGCACATAAAAACAAAATAAATCCTAAACATTCTAATCAAGGTAGATTGATAATGATTCATTATTAACTATAAATAATATAAAACAACTAAAATGATAAATGAAGAAAATGCAAAAGATATTAGGGAATCGGGAATAAATGTTTTGAATCGAAATGCAATTATCGACTTGTGATTGTTCGGTTAAAGAAGTCGAGTCACCTACACGTTTAGAGATTTATCCTCAATACCTTTTGGATTATGAGAATAAATATAAACGGTAAATTAACGAGTTGTTTAACACATAGACAATACCTTTCGGATTATGTCTATTTTGTATGAGTCTCGATCGAGTAACCTTTTCCCTTTCGGTTCAAGAGTCAATTAAAATAGACTACAGGATTTTTAGTCGTCTAGTCTATTCGGATAGTGATCGTCACAATAGAACACATCATATTCAATTTGAAAACAAGTTTAACATTGAAGTGTCACTCTTCAATACTTAGAAATCAATTGCAAGGTTGAATTGTCACTTTTCAACAATATGTCATTTCAAAGTAAAAATCAAAAACCGAATTTAGAATTAACTCATACAAAGTGAACAATCAACGAGTACGATAATCACATATGAAATCAAATATTCATCCCTATCCCTAGCAAATGATTTAGCTATTCATATAAAAAAAAAAAATAAAC